GGGGGGGGGGGGGCGCCTACTACTACTACTACCACTACTGCTACTGCGACTGCTACTGCTACGGCTAGTCCTACTACTACTACTACTACTACTACTACTACTACTACTACTCCTACTCCCACTCCTACTAGTACTGCTGCTACTACCACTACTACTACTACTACTACTACTACTACTACTACTACTACGACGACGACGACGACGACGACGACGACGACGACCACTCCTCCAGGCCCGCTTCTTTCTATTTCTTCGATTGCTATTACACGTACTGCTGCTTGTTCTACTGCATCTACTACTCACTCTCACTATTCTCCTCCTGCTCATGCTCCGACGACGACGATTACTACTGTAACTAGCGGCGCAAGCAGGACGCTTCCACAGGCTCCCACTAACATGCCATCTTCCCTGCAGCTCAAGGCACCACCAGCAGCGTCACCGAGGTCGCCTCTCGGCATCCAGGGCGACCTGGGTCCCGGGTGTAGCCAGGGCACCCACGGAATGGATTGTTGAATCTCTTGGTAATGAGATATATTCCTAAAAGCGCTGAGGTGGCAGTTTGGACCCACTCCTCAGATTACCCCCCTGTACATTGGGCGAGCTATCTACCTGAAGCAACGAGCCTGGCAGGCTGCTGAAGCCTCAAGGAGGACTGTCGTAGGGTTCAGCTGTGCTTAAAGTTCAGGGTTTGGGGCGTTCCAGGGTCTAGGGCTCCTGAGTGAGTCTACCAAAACACGCCGAGACCCTGACAAATTACCCTAAGCCCTAAGCCTAAACCCTAAACCCTACTGATAAGGAATCTCGGGACGCGTGGAACATGAGGAACAGGAGGGAAGCGCGAGTTCGGGGCAGAGGGTAGGGGCGGTTGGGGTATCTGGGCTTAGGATTTGTGGGGCTTTTGGGGCCTGAAGGTTTAGGGCTGTAGCCGCAGTGTTTAGGTTTGAGTGTTGTTTAGGATTTGGATTCTCAGGTGCACTACCGATAACAACCGTCATTATTCCTACACCCTGGGGTTTAGGGTGTAGGGGCCAATGCAAAAAGTATCTGAAGGGCCACTGCAGGGCTTAGCGTGTGGTGTCCAATGATCGCGCTTATGGATCCTTAGCAAAATCCGCAAGCTTCAAGAAAATACAACGACCGTTGAACCATGTTGAACCTTAGCCTAGTACCTAAAACTAACTCTGACTCCCGAAGTCTGTGCATGAAGTGGATTTCAAGCCGCTGAGGCTTGTTCCCCCGAGCCCGCACGCCCTCTGACGGCGACTGTGAGCGACCGGCCCACGCCCAGCAGGTTCGGGGGAGTAGCCGTGGACTTGCCTGGTTATCGCGTCATGTATACACCCTAAACCCTAAACCCTAAACCCTAAACCCTGGCATATGTGGGTTTAAACTAGGGGGCCTCTGTTGCGAGGTCCTGTACGAAAAGGATCGCATGCGGTGGGTTGAGAGATCTCTCAGGGTGGAGACCAAAATCTTCTGAAACTACCAGGTGTCGTTCCATCCTTCTTAGGTTCCTTTTCAACTGCAAACTACCCCCTGCGCCACGCTCTCATATGACAGCTGCTCCTGCTGCTATTCCTGGCTCTTGCTGCTACTGCCACGACTCCAACATCGTATGCCCAAACTTAAAGCCCCTGCCCAGGGGCAACACGCCGAAGAAGACGCCAAAGCAGCGTCGCACTCGAAGTTCTCTTGCCAGTGCCATCACTGCCACCCAGCCGGACTGAAAACTGCGAGCAGCGTGGGTTCAGGGAGCTCTGGGGAATTTGGACCGCTTTGGGGATGCAGCTAGTGGGGCTTGTCTGGGCTTGGCTGCACAGGTTGAAGACAGATCGTGGTGTACAGAGGGGCCTACCCAGAGAGCCCAATACCTCTTAATTAAGGAATATGGCTTAAATTATAAGGGGCTTCATATTATGATTTAGGCTATATATTCCTTAATTAAGGGGTATTTGGGCTCTCGGGGTACGGGTTACGGGCTCCAGCAAACCGGAACGCATCCAACAAAGACCGGGCTTACTCGAGTTTGTGGTAGCCGTGGTGGCCTTAGCAGACGGCGGCGGTGGGTTTTGCCTTTCTCGGATGTATGTTCTGTCGCTTCAATCCCTAAGGGTCCAAAGGACCCAATAATCATGTACTTGGGTTTCGGATAGTAGTTTTGCAGTTTAGTATTTCAGAAGAGTATATGATTATTAAGTACTTGGACCCTTAGGGAATTGTGCCAGATATGTTTCAGCATCCAGGATGTACTGCGAGCGGAGTATCAGGGCAGGGAAGCTGAAAGATAAGCCTTCCAACGCTGGAATCCTGAAACTTCGAAACCGCAGACTCACAAACCCTAAACCTCAAAAGTCGTGAATCCGGTAAACCCTAAAGCGAGTTCAAGCTGAAAATAAACCCTAAACCCTAAACCCTAACCTAAACCCTATTTCAAGCCTCAAGATTGACATGCCGGAAGGATGTCGTGAGCCCGGTAGCGACCGAGATCGACTCTGATGCCGAGAGTGCCTTTGCCATTATTCCTTCACAGTCTGGAACTTAGGATTAAGGTTTAGGGTGTAGTAGGGTTTAGGGTTTAGGGTCTTTAAGCATAGGGTTTAGGGTTTAGGGTGTAAGGGTTGAGGGTTTAGGGTCTTTAGGCACAGGGTTTAGGGTTTAGGGTGTAAGGGTTTAGGGTTTAGGGGTTTTAGGTATAGGGTTTGGGGTTTTGGGTGTAAGGGTTTAGGGTTTAGGACTACCGGTTAGAGTCCTTGCTCCTGTGCTCAGTGGGGTGCTGGCATTCATCAAGCCCAGTTGCAAAAAGGACTGCCCTAAACCCTAAACCCTAAACCCTAAACCGTTTCAGGGTTGTGAAATCCTAGGCGGTTGGGGCTTCAAGGCTCCGGCCTCGGGCGGCAGCGACGCACGATTGATGAAGGGTCCCAAACAATTACCAATATTATTTTGTGGGTTCCTTTATATATTAATATATAATATAATATAGTATAGTATACTATAATATAATATGATATAATATAATATAATATAATATAATATAATATAATATAATATAATGGGCTCCAAAACCCTATGCTAATTGTTAAGGCCCCGACATTAATCAAAACCACAAGCGCTGCCCTGCGTCGACCTGGTGCGAGAGTCAAAACCCCGAAGGCTCAGAGCCTGCACACGCAAGCCCTTCACGAGCCTACACCAAGTGGACTTAGTTCTAGAGTAAGGTTGTAAGCAAGCTTATGCGTCTAAACCTTAAATACCCTCAGCCTGGTTCATTCCTGCTTCCCCTGCGTAGTATTAGTAACCCCCTATAAACCCGAGCCGCAAACCCAAATTCTGTAGAAGCAAGAAAGGAAAGCATCAACCTCCCAAAAACCTTGCCAGACCCTGTAAGGAACCCATTGACAAGGCCTGCTGATCCTGCCAGTACTGTGGCTTTCAGTCGCCGCTAAACTCCAAAACCTGCCAAAGAACCCTAAACCCTAAACCCTAAACCCATAAACCCGTCCGCTATTTCTGCAGACCAGGCCAGGCTTGTCCGAGTGTGAGTGTCAAGATAAGCCGTGAATTTTCAGACCCAGCCCTAAGGGTTTAGGGTTTAGGGTCTAAATCCGACAGGGTCCCTACCTGAAGAACCCAAAACCCACTTTTTTGTAGGTTCTTATTATAAACCCTAATATGGGATTTATAGGGACCCTACAAAAAAGTAGGTTTTGTGTTGATGCATGAAATCGCCCTCAG